TATATATATATATATAATTTTCAAGGTTTAAATTTTTTTAATTTTTATATCGTTATAGATCTAAATTTATAAAATTTTTAGTTGATTTTAGGTACATTTTACTTCAAAATGACTTGAGTCACATTTAAATGGGATTATACTGATTTTTATTGTCTAAACCCATGTAAATCTCATTCAAACTCAATCATTGTAACTCAAACTCTAAGAGATTTTTCTATCCAAAACTTTGTATAAATAGATGGAAGGGTTTTTGGCCTTAAGATCCATAACGTTATGAGCTAACTAATAAAAAACACCATTTGGCATTATTTCAACTCTCAAAGGGTTGAAATCAATGTAAAATGCCATTTTAAGGCTAAAAATTTTACTAATTATTTCAAAACTAAGTTTTTAGGTCTTTTTATGTGTATTTAGTTTTTAACTTACCTAAGTTACCTCGATTCGTATAGGGTTACATAGATTTTCAGTAGGGACTAAAATTAATGCAAATGAATGTAATCCTATTCAAAATCAATATAGTGCAATGTTAGAGAGGTTCTTTCCATCTCTATTTACAAAACTTTGGATAAATGTGTTGAATCCTCAGAAGTAGAGGCTAACTAATTAAAAAGACCCTCCATGGATTCAATGGGTTGAAATCACTGTAAACTATCATTTAAAATTCCAAAAAAATTTCAAATACCATTATCTCAAATATCACTGCAGAACTAAATTCCTAGAGTTGGAAGTATTCTACATATTTTTATCTTCAAATTACATAAGTTACACTAATTCAAACAAATTCTGAATGGTGTCACGCTCACTTTCCATAAGGCCTAAAATCAATGCATACTCATTCAAAATTAGTGTAAATCAGCCTCAAAAAGATTTTCTTAACCAAATTCTTTCTGAAAATGTCTATAAATATATAGAAGGGTTTTTTTTTTTTTTGCCCTTCAAATCCATAAATTAGGGGGGCACAATTATACTTATCAATAAACTATAATATTATAAAATATCATTTTTAAGGTTCACAAAATCCTTAAACTCTTAAATATCATTTTAGAACTAAAATCCTAGAGTTTCAGGTGATTTAGTAGTTATTTTGGGCTTCAAACGACTTAAGCTTCGATGGCTCTGAACGAGTTTGCACTAATTTACAATGGTTATTGAAACTATTTTTCACATCCAAATTCATTCCAAAACATTCTATAAACATATAGAATGAATTGAATTTTTGGACTTGAACTCCACATCATTATGCCCAAAATGATAAAAGAAAGCCAATTCGATATAATTTCAACTTTGAATGGGTTGAAATCGATGTAAAATATAGTTTTAATATTAAAAAATTACCAAAGCTCTCAAATGTTGTTTTAGTACTCATTTTGAGGACATGCAAATGATTTTAAATAGTTTTGGCTTTAGACGAATCAAGATACAATGATTTTGAATGAAATAATACTAATTTTAAGGTGCTGTAATTTAGTGCAAGTGAATCTTAAAATCACTTTTCTATCCAAATTCACTCCAAAACTTTATACAAACATATGGAATGGTTTTGGCATTCAAGTTCATGAAATTAAAGGCCAAATGATCAGCATACAAAACGCTCTGAATTACCTTTTTGTAGTTCAAAAAAGTTGAGCAAAACTCTAAAATATGGTTTTAGAGATAATATTCAGGAACACTTATGATGTTAGATAGTTTTTGACTTCAAATAACCATAGTTACAATACAATGATTTTAAATGGGGTCACACAAATCACTCTGAATTACCTTTTTTTGTGGTTCAAAAAGTGGAGCAAAACTCTAAAATATGGTTTTAGAAATAATGATATTAGATAGTTAAAATTTATTTAAAATAGGGTCAGTTGAAGTGGATATGGTCAAACGTTAAGCTCCGATAGTTGAATCGGATCGGGGATCCAATTTTGGTAAGCAGGAATGGGGTGCCATGTTTCTGCCAGCGTTTGTTTCTAAGCTGCGTACTTAATTCATACACCAGCAAGTAATAATGTGGGCAAGAAAAATGAACCTTATCACTTGTTAAACAACCAATTTCCAACACGTCACAGACGAACAATTCAGTTAGAGATGAAGCTTGCCATGAATTTATTTGAATATTCTACAACAAACACCATATGCTGAATGAAACCGAGGAATTATTGGCACTTATGCTAATGAAATATATAAGCCAAGAAGAAAGAAGATAAATAATTAATCTGCGGTTCAAAGCACATAAGCTAAAAGAGAACATTAAGCACGAGAAATAGAGGCACCAATTACTATTCCTTTTAGGATCAAAAAGGTTAAGAGCAACATAGGCAAATGGAAGTGTTGCACAATTTATGCAGGCAAGAATCATATCATAAACATACAATGCTGATGAATAATAATTATTCGAAATAAGCAAAGACAAATTAATTACGTACACAACTATGTAATAAGGAGTGAGAACTTCCATTAGTTTCATGCAACGCAATCGCACATTTTCAAGGGCCATAAAGAGTTTTTCCCTCGCTCTGCTCTGCCATCTGTATCATGAAACTATTTGGTGGTGGTACAAACAAAAGCAACATTACAAAAATTTTGGAGTCATCTGACGGTCTCCTGGTATGCCTTTGGAAGCTGTCTGTAACAGATAAAACTACATAGTTTTGAAGGAACAAAGTTCCAAGAGATAAAACGGAATTCAAGGCCAACTTATTAGCCGATACTAGATAGTCAAACACATGTGGCACCACCAACTCTTAATTCCTTGCAAGTTGTACTTTTGACCTTGTTAAGACAAGATGGCTCATAAGACAATCAATCGGTTGTGTGGTGCTTGCAATCAGCAAAAGCATTCACCGCAGTCGTTACTTCGCACTTACTTTGCAATGTTTATCTACAATCTGCACCGACTGCTTCCTGAACAGACTTGAAACCATCTTTTGCCAAGCACTCCGCCAGTTCAGCCTGATAATAAAAAAACTTGCATCAGGAGTTCATTTTGCAGATCCACAGAAACAGCAAATGCTATTTTAAATAGTAGAAATGAATGAAAGCAAAGCACAATCGACGAGTTACTATAATAGAGTTTGTCATAGTTATGTCTATCAGTATTCCATATTGATAGAATTAAGAATTGAGGAGTCAATTTTATGTGGCCAGGTTATTTGAAATTTTGAATATTTTGAATTGGAAGCTAATGTGGTCTTGGTTGGTCCCCATAGTCTGGTTCGAGAATATGCTATGTTGCTGTCTAGGGTCAAATAAATCGGGCAACTATTTTCTATGGAATCAAATGGTAAACATATTTCGAGTTCATCAATGTGCCCTCCACAAACCTAAATGGCCAAAAAATGAAACATGTAGATGACCTCAATGAGCAACTAATCACCAAAAAAACTGCATAGCACAAAACTGGTCTGTGGATCATTTCTTAACCAATCAAACAAAGAACGAGAGTATAAGCAGGTGCTTTCAGTCAAGAACTCCACACACAAATCTGACAGATGAATGTACATGAAACTAGAGAATAAATCAAGCACAAAAGATGAATCAAAAGCAAAAAATCACAAATCACTATTTCATTTAAAGTCACAAGTCATTTCATTTGAAAGATTAACATTTTGATATCATCCAACCTACAACTTAGCAAATTACACATCTATTTAGCAAGCAAACTTTGTCATTGATATGTTATGGAAAACAAGTTGGACGCTTGGACTTTCAAGTACAAATTACTTAAAACACTACAAACTATATCAGTAGCAGTAAAAACCTTTATCTGTGGAATTAATGCTGGTCCACCATAGGCAAAAGCTGTATACAGCTGGACAAGTGTTGCTCCAGCTCGAATTTTCTTGTATGCATCTTCACCACTGCATTTCAATAGATATTTAACAAACTTCAAAAGAGATTTTGTCCAATCAACCAGCAAATTTAGGTTCAACTATAATGTCATATTACCTGCTTACACCTCCGCAACCTATGAGTGGAATCTTCCCCTGCAAAATTAAGAGGAATGTCAGCATTATCAAATAAGTTGGAAAGATGGAATTTGGTTGTGGTCATAGGTAAAAAACCACAAAAATGGCTTACAAATTCAGGGCCAAAGTAAATGTTGCCAGTTGAAAAAAATAAGAATGAGGGGAAGTACCCGAGTTAGAATATACATCTCCTTGAGAATGTTGGTGGACATATCAAAGAGTGGCTTTCCGCTTAAACCCCCAGATTCTCCAGCTAATGGGTGATTACTTACAGGATCAGGCCTCGAAACTGTTGTATTTGATATGATCTGAGGAGGCATTGCCCATAATTACACTAGACAAGTTAGTTATTGAATTATTTCTAGACAGAACTAAGCAAAGAAAGAGTAAGGTTAAGGAAAAAGAACCTGCAGGGTTCCTACAAGTTCATAATTCACTATCCAAGTTCATAACTTAATAAAAGAAATTACTTCTTTAGCAAATGGTAAATAAATCCTGCTTTAAATTTATAGATAAAATTGATAAGAAATGTCTGCATAAGAATGTCCATGTTTCTATGTCTGCACCAAAAATATGCTGCCCTAAAATTGCAGAGAAAGTAATTTCAAAGAATGTTTACAAATATTCATGTTCTACAACTTGGTAATTGAGAAAATGAGGCACTTTACGAAAACTTTTGTCATCCAAGACTGCAAAGATCCTCAAAGTTAACATCACACAAGATCAAGAAGAAAGAGGAGAAACAAGAAAACAATGAACAATCACTCGATTGAGTATGTCTAACAGCGAGATCAACTCATGTGCGAAAAACCATATAGGAGCTAATCATTATAAGTGAAAAATCATAACCTAGCACCTCCACAGCATTTCTCTGACAAGGGAAGCCAACATTAATTAGCTACATTGTCTATTTTAATTTGAAAATACAAAAGCAAGGCTTCAAGAGGATTATAGAATCTTGCCCCAAAAAAGAAAAGTTATAGAAGCTTACCAGTCCATCCAGGTGGAGAGCAACAGCAACCTAAAATTAGATAAAATACAATGATAAGCATATGTGCTATTTACAATGGGGCAAAATAGGATCATCAAAGAGCTTACAGCTGCAATATCCTCAATGTCCTCTTTAGACAAGTCTGGAGCAATTTTTACAACCAAGGGTGGTGGTCCCTCCTCTGCCCATTGCATCTCATCACGAGCAGCTTGCACCTATATGCCAATCATAATGATCAAAGAACAGACTCTTAAAGGTAAAAGCATACAGAATACTTTTCAAGTTTTTAACCTTTTTAACTAGATCTTTGAGCTGTTTTCTTCCCTGAAGTTTGCGAAGACCAGGAGTATTTGGTGAAGAAATGTTTATAACCTGAAATAATACTCAATTAGCAGAAAGATATGCTACAAATGCTTTAGATCAAGGTCATCCAATGAGAACATGTTATGCAAACCCAAATAAAAAATGGCAGTCTTCCTTGGAGATCATGCATTAAAAATGAGAAACTAAAATTCTGGGTTCATCATCCAGAATTCAATAGGATTAAGAATACAGTCAATTACGTCCATTCATAGAAAACCCCTGTTAAGGAATTTCAACATTGAACATTACTCAAAATGGACAGGAAATGAATAGACAAACTAAAGCCAAGTAGTCCAAAACCCTCATCTTCTCTCTTGCCTGAAAACTTAAAGTCCTTGTAGGAAAAAATTGGAGGGTAGTCATAACTCATAAAACTTAATATGTCCTTCAAAAATGACCCTAACCATGGGCACCCTCATCCTTTCCTAGGAGAGAAGTGGGTGGTTACCTTAAGTGGTTACGACTAGATCCTAAATTGTGATAGGGCTTCAACCTTGTGTTAGTTCAATAGGATGTAGGTCTTAATGTCTTATCAAGGTGATTGACATGATAATTCACAGAATATTTAATGTAACTCATTAATACCTGACAAAATTCTTGCAAGAATCAACGACAAAGTATAAGAAGTTATACGAGAGAAATACAACATTCTCAGTCTACATTAATATTACAGGTAGGTTTCTGTTTCTTACAATTAAGTCATTGATTGACCAAGTTTAGTTTATCATGATTAGTCCAATCATCTTTAACGGTTTAACCAATTTAACTAGTTGATTAATTACATCCAACAATCTTAGAACTGACAACTAATGTCCAACCAACTGTTTCAACCAGTCTAAGTTATTGAGAGTGTCTCCAATATATCTTACCCAAGAAGTCCTATTTTGCATCAATAAAATAAAATAATAGTTAGATATTCACATGCACCACTTCAACTAATAAGTAGCAGACAATTAACATTCCTGTGCAACTACAATTTCATCCAAAAACAAGATTAGATAGCAAGTTCATGAGCTACTAACTATTCTCCCACAATTAGGCTCATTATTGCTTAGTAATTATAATTACACCAAGGAATTCAATTTCTCCTGGTTTGGTTCTTATCGACCGGTATATACCGGTTAGAGCCCGAAGTGGGACAAGGACCGGCCTCATTTCAGAAGTTCCTGTCACAATCTAATCTGATGGAATAACTAACCTATTAATTTTGTTGAATCTAACATTGGTCCAAGATGCATAAATCCAAATTAGTAGTAGTACACTCATCAAACCTCTATAGGTCCATCCAATTCATCTCCTATGTCCAAAGTGGGAACACATTCATCCAACCAATGAATGAAAGGAACCTTCTAGTTGTCAAGTATGATTGCTAGATACCGATGGGAATTGTCCAACTAGCATATTGGCCTTCTTATCCTCAACAAGATCAAGAATGGTCCTAATATCATATCAAGGCTCATATAGTAACGATCTCATAGACAATTCTACCTTATAAATTCATTCAAAACATATCAAATAAATCATCAATCTCATCATGAGTCAAAACCAAATAAACCCTTAACTGGCTTGAACCCTATCCGAATTGGTCCAATTTACTCGAACCAAACTCAATTCAGCTAAAACTTAACTGAACCGACATCAAATCCTTATAGAAAGATTTGGAATCATCCTAAAGTGATCTAATTGGACATAAATAGGTCCAATCTAGATCAAACCATCTTGAATTGGTCTGAACCAATATGAAATCACCCTAGACCTAGTGTCAAGGGCAACTAGCCGAGCCACAACGGGCCATGGCCAAGGCAGCATATGGGTCTGGGTGCTGCGCTGCCATGGGCCACTGGTCAAACCCAAATCGAGCTACAACAAGGGTTGTTAAAGGCTCACGTCAAACTTTGGTCCAATCCACAAGCGCATGGATTGGGCCGCAAGGGCCTGACTTGAGTCATATACGTATATTACATATATTTATTAGTGTCTTATTATGAATAATTAAGGTTGATTAATATATTTCTCTTAATATTAGGCTCATATAGGTCCATTATCATACTTTAGAGCTTAGACAGAAATTAAGAATAATTTTGCCTCATCACAACTAGTTAGTGGTGATTAGTGTCTTTCTATTTAGTTTAGGCACCTAAAAAGCCTATAATTACAATCCATTTATGACTCATTCGGACTTTATTCTTATTAAAATTGAATTAAAATTAAATTAAATTAGGAAAATTAGGTTTAAAGGGGTTTTTTATTTTTCAGACATTTTTTGGCTATTTTCTGGCCAACTTTCCAAAAAACAGTATGTGCCAATTCGGGCCACAATCGACACTATCAGTGGCATGAGATGGCAATTCTTGATAATTACAATTATTATTATTTTGCATACCAGTTGATATCATACTATATTGTCCAGTACATACCAAACTGATAGGTTGCACAAAACTTGTATAAGACTCGTATTTTTAAACCTTGGTCGGAACATGCACAATAGTGTTAAAACTTAAAACCATTGCTAAAAACCTCCTAACTTCTCGTACTGACACCAGAAACCTTAACCTGGGTGCAAATTTAGCCTCAAAGCAGCGAAACGAAAAGTTAAATACTTACCATCTAGTTAATGTACTTCAAATCAGCTTTTTCGGTCCAAAAAATACATGACTGAAAATTTTGTATCAATGATAACACAAATAAACCCATATGACTTCCCCTTTGATGAAATTATTTTAGTTAACTCACATGTAGCTTAAAGTGACAACTGTAAACTAAAGGCACAAACAGTAAGCAAGAATGCAGTAATATAAAAGTTTAAAGTTATAAGAAATATCATGGATGATGAAATTGTTAAACAACATAAAACAAGACCATCTGAATATGATTGAAACACACTGACCTAAATGTACAAATCAAACAATTAATTTGGGGCCTATGACCAAGAAAATACCAAGTAATCAGCATATTGTGATAAAGTATGAACTCCTTGAACATAATCAGAAGCAGCATCTTCACTTGTCTTGTTCTTGCCAATATTGACTCCCAAGATGCCAGGACCTGCTTTCCCTCCATGCTTGACTTCCTCGGTCAATGAAGGGGAAGTACTTGAAGTTTCTTCCATTTTCCTCTTACCATGCTGGGCACCAAGACGCTTCGCAACCACCACTATGCCTTCACTATTGAACCCACAGCGGTTTATTATAGCACTGCCACCAGAACAGGCACACAAATTTATACAGGTAGACACATATTTCAAGTACCATATTTTATTTTAGCAACAATTCTGTTTCATGGAAAATAGCAAACACAGAAAGTTCGAGAAGTGATAGATCACTTAGGGTATTATAAAAGTAGATGCAACATACATGCTTACCCCTCCTTTGGCAGTCTGAAAATACGTGGCTTAGGATTTCCTTCTTGAGGCATGGGGGTGACTGAGCCAACCTCAACAAAACCAAATCCTAAACCTAATAAACTTTCAACTGCTTCAGCATTTTTATCAAAACCAGCAGCTAGTCCAATGGGATTAGTAAACTTCCGTCCCCAGACTTCAAGACCCAATATTGTCGGATCAGGTCGTTTTTCCCTGGGAACAAAGCCATGAGCAGCAGCAGATACTGCCAGACGATGAGCAACCTCTGCATCTAGCAGTGCAAAAAATGGGTTGACAATCCTGGTAGCCTTAAACAGCCACCCACTGTAAGGTCAAACACAGAGATACCAGACACAAAAAGTTTGAGACAAAATAGGTCATATCAACAGCCTTTTAATTAATTTGACAGTACAGTGCATGGAAACAATGTAAGAATTTATGCACATTTCACAACAAAGAGCATGCGGTATTCCACAACGAGAATAATTAATAACAAAATTATGGACCTCAACCAAGGAAATGATAAGTTCTTAATCCAATTAAGTGCCACTAGCGAAGTAAATAGTTGCATGAAAATAAAACATGATGCTTCTCCATAAATGAAACATGGAATGCTTACCATCAAGGAGAAACAGTCATCTAGGCTTTAGTACAAAATCCTTGGAAAAAACAGTCTATAGAAAAATCAAGCTGATGATCCTTCACCTATAGCCAACCAACTAATACCTGCTATCTCAATCTGATTGCAAGGTCATTAAAGTAAGGCAAACACCTGCAAGAAGAGCTTGCAGCTTATTCTACAAATGCTTGCTATGAACTTCCAGAACGTGAAACTAAATTTTCCATTGCAACAGAGAGAACTCTTAGCTTACCGTGTTCAATCAAAGAAAAATAACTTAATGTTTAATGAGCAACAAATGAATATAGGGCATGTTTACAAATGGAAACTTTTCCAGCTCCAGAAAATTTTCTAAGAAAAATTACTAATTTAAAATAGTTTCTTATTCTGGAAACTAGACTTTGGAAAACTAAAAAAATAGTTTCCATAATTTCCACACCCTCACATCATTGTGACAACAACCACCATAGCAGCACTGCCATCACCATCGTACTGAGAATAATAAACCATGATCTTGGTCAAATTACCATCATTAGAGAATGCATTCCAGAAAGCTGAAGTTATAAGACTGAAATATGTTGTAGCAGAATTCTTTATTTAAATCACACTTGCAACATAGAAACAGTGTATATGATTATCAACAAAATACTTGTGGTAGTGAAAATTTATCGCACATTGATGTTTCCTACCCAGAGCATGCAACACAAATAGTCTCTAGTTCCTCTTATGCATTAATTTAAAGTGCTATCATCGGACCAAATGAAAACATACAAGAAAAAGAAAAAAAGGCTAAGAATGAACTAAATATGCAAAATTCTGAAGTGCACAAGCCACAAAAGAGGTACATATAAATGTTTAGATACAAGACATATCACACAAACAGATAAATTCCACCAACATTTAAGATCTAACATTATTGTAAGAAACCATCGAGAAACAAAAGAGAATTATAAAAAAAATTTAACTTACAATACAGAAGAAGATTCTTAGCCACATCACTAAGAAGAAGCCCTAGAACATCAAATGTCAACTATCAAATCCCACCAAACAGTTCATAACAAATGATCCTTATTGATGAATATTCAACTTCAAGTATGCCAAAGCAGGATCAGGAAACAATTAGCACACATAAAAATCTGGAAAAGTGTACCAATATGTGGCTTCATCTACAGTACTGACATAAGCTCCTCCAGCTATAGCCAAGCCTATCATGGTTCCAGTTAAAAACCTTCCCTGCAAAGATGACAAGCAGTCTACTATGGATCCATATGTTCTTGTACCACATTACAGTTAATTGGGGTTCTGAAACTTAAAAAAATAAAATGACATAGCTGAGATATAGCAAAACACGAGAACCTGCACCATATGTTCAAACATGTACCATCACACAGACATGAAAATACAAATATACATACATATATGTATGTGAACATCAGGTCACATGTTCAAAAGGAAGCATACATATTTATATCTAGGCACATGCTTAATATTTCTTTCTTCTTATACCCATGGATCTTTATACGTGCAAAGCACATGCAGAGGACCAAGGGTTGACTGTGATAATAATGAGCTGACAGAGAAAAAATATGACATATGATAGAGGTATAACTAAAATACTAAATAACAAATATTTAGCGGTAAAGACTTTGTCAGTTTATCGCAAGATCCTGGGCTCGAGTCCCACCTTTGCTACTTACCCTTTGCATAAAAAAAATAAAAATAAAAAAAAATATTTACTGAATGAAAGAAATCCCACAAAGAAGAAATTTTTTTTTGGTAAGTCCACAAAGAAGAAATGCTCCTACTAATTAAGAAAGGTGGAATATTTGATGAATATCCATGATTACACTAGTTAATAAAGAAAAAACTTCAATGGTTATTTCAATGATTTTAATTTCGAATAATATCACTCGCTACCGGGCAGTACCGTTGATTAAGACTGTTTCCGCCCCATTACCACTCTAAATCGATCATCACCGCCCACTACCGAGTGGTATTAGTCGAGGGAGAAGAAAGAAGAGGAGAACCTGGAGATCCAACGCCACTCTCCCTCCTCGTTCGAGGCGACAAGGCCTCGACGTCATCGGCGACTTCTCCTTATCCGCACAAGGAGAATAATCCTCGACGACATCCCAGGGAGAAGAAAGCGAGCGTCGTTGAGGTGGCGTTTCTTCTCCCCCACGCAGGCAAAAGAAACGAGGCGATGGCACCGATGCCTCGTCGCCCTTTTTTGTGCGGGGAGAAGGAAACGGTTTCTTCTCCCCACCTTTGCTCCACATGGGCAGAAAAGAGGCGACATCACCCCTTTTTTTTTACATATATATATATATATATATATATATATATATATATATATATATATATATATATATATATATATATATATAAGAGACATGGTAAAGTTTATTTCTAAATGTCTAGGTTTGCCAATAGCTAAAGGCAAAACATCAAATACCTGAGGAAAAATTGCAAAAGATTCTAATTCCTCAATGGAAGTGGGAGCAAATCACTATGGATTTTGTGACAAGACTACCCAAGACTGCGAAAGGATATGATGGAATTTTAGTAATAGACAGACTCACTAAATCTGCTCACTTCCTCCCTATTAATCAGAAATATCTCTTGGAGAAACTAGCAAGTTTATACGTTAAAGAGATCATTCAATATCATGGGGTGCCAATTAGTATTATCTCTGATAGGGATCCAAGGTTCAGTTTTAAGGAAGTCTACAGAAATCCTTGGGCACATAGTTAAAATTTAATATAGTTTTTCACCCCCAAGCAAATGGTCAATCTGAGAGAACAATACAAAATCTTGAAGACCTCTTAAGCAAGGTTTGAAATATCGTATCATACCGACGTTTCGACATTCGCTCGATACGGTATGATACTATATACCGAGCGGTATACCGTTCGGTATACTACTCGGTGTGTGGTGTGTGTGTGTGTATACATATATACATATATATATATACACACACACACACACACATAAGATTTTTTTATATATAAAATGTTTTTATAAAAGGTGACGGCGACATGACGTTGTCTTTAAAATTTTTTTTTTCCTACTCCCACACGGGCGACGTTGACTTTTTCGACGACGTCGCCTATATATATATATATATATATATATACCGTTCAGTAACGGGCGATCCGTGTACCGGTCAGTTGACAGACCGGTACGTACCGTTGGATATCCAATAAGCCGAAGAAATCTGGAGTTCAAAGTTGGTGATCACGTCTTATTGAAAGTGTCGCCAACCAAGGGAGTCATAAAGTTTAGCTAAAGGGGGAAGTTAGCCCCTAGATTCATTGGCCCATTTGAGATCTTATAGAAAATTGGACCTGTGACATACAGATTGGCATTGCCCCAAGCTTTAGCTTGCATCCATGATGTATTCCACGTCTTTATACTCCGAAAATATATCAAGGATCCATCCTATGTCACGTCTTACCAATCTTTGTAACTAAGAGATGATGTCACCTTCGTAAAGCAACCAATCTGGATCTAGGAAAGAAAAGAGCATGTTCTAATGAATAAAGTTATACCCTTAATAAAGGACCAAGATGCAACTTAGGAAAGAGAAGATGTGAGAGAGTAGTATCCTCATCTATTTATTGAGGTAAGCTAAATTTGGGGACCAAAGTTCCTTTAGGAGGGGAGAAATGTAATCAAATCCCTAATTTAGGTATAATTTTTCATTTCCTTTCTTGTTAATGAAATTTAGGAAATAATTATTCAATATACCAAGAAAGGTGATATTACATACTACTAAGTAGGGTGATGTTATTTTTGTCAATAAACTAAACAAAAATAAATATTAAATAAATACGAAAATTAAAAAAATTTACCTTAGGTGAAGGGCTCACCTCCTCCAATTTAAGGGAAGGGATTCCTCTCAATTCCTCATCAAGCGAGCCTAGTAACGAAAGAAATGAGGAGTTGCATCTTACTGAGGAGAGAGAGGTTCTCAAGGCCTTCTTGAAAAATAAAAACTTTCTTCGATTCCTTTAAATGTTTAAAATTTTATTTTTGGATTAAGACATGTTATATGTAGTTCTAAAATATTCTTTTATTCCTTTAAATGTCTAAAACTTTATTATTGGATTAAAACATGTTATATGAAGTTTCTAAAATCTTCTTTTATCCCTTTAAAGGTTTAAACTTTTATTTTGGGATTAAAACAAGTTAAAATTATTCATGTCATATGCATTTCTAAAATTTTTATCTTGGATGCATGATATTTGATTTTTATTAGATTTCTACAATACTTGAATAAGAATATTATTTCATCCTTATGCAGTTTTATCTTTTCAATCTGTTGTTTTTTTATTATGTTTTAATGACTTATTGCTAATGATTAGATGTTTAATTATAATTCTATGATGTCATAATTCAGCATTGAAGGAATTGATTAGAATTTGAGTTAAAATGAACCAACAGGCTAGGCCACAGCCCACAAGACCCAACCCGCAGATCCGACCCCAACCTACAGGCTAGCTCAACCCAACCCAAAATGGGCAGTCATGTGCAGTGCACATGACCAATCCATGTGCTGGCTCAGCCTGATGTGGTGCATGCACAATCATGTGCAAAACACATGACCAGTACATGGGCTGGACCAACCTAGCTCAGTGTTATGTAGTCTAGTCTATTGCCCTTATTTTGTTTGATTTGGGCCCAAACATTGATTGAACCAAATCATATTTGATCGGTTTAGGCCAATTTAAGGTGATTCTGAAACCCAACCTAGCCCAATATTATGCAATCTAGCCCATTACCCTTATTTTGTTTGATTTGAGCCCAAACATTGAGTGAACCAAATCAGATTTGATTAGTTTAGACCGATTCGAGGTGATTCTGAAACGGTTTCACTTATTCAAGTCTGTTTAACCTAAATTGAACCTAACATGTTTCAAATTATAGTAGTCTAGGGTAATTCTAGATCGGTTAAATAAGGATTAGAGACTGATTCAGTTAGGTTCTAGTTAAATCGAGTTCAATTGAATTGATTGAACTATAGTTCAAGTTAGTTGAGGGTTAACTGATATTATTTGACATTAATGATGTTCAAAAGAAATATTTCAATGTATTATTTCATTCTGATATAGACATGACCAATATAAAATTATATTGTTTCCCTGCCCGGGGCAAGTAGGGCGATTCCCATCGGGAATTAGCGGGCCGTCATATGTGGCGACTGGTTATCCGCTCCTGGAAGGAACGTGTCCCCACTTTAGTGGGTGCGAGACACCACTCCATTTGCTATTGGGAGTGTATTATGGGTTTGTCTCCATCCGCAGTTGGGAAAGCACAAACTCATCCCGTAGGATAAAACCTCTTCATCCACTGTTGGGGGAGCGCTTGACTTACAGGGGTCCTACTCAGCGTTACTGAAATTTCTTTGTTTTTTTATTTTCAGAGCAGCCTCCCAGTAGCACAAGATCGAATTCCAATGGAGACTAGACCTTCTCTACCGCTAGGTAGAGCCAGTTGGATTTATTTTTGAGTTAACATCACTATGTTTCTCAATAAGGCCTAGGGCTACTTTTGACTTGTATTTTGATGAAAAAATAAATTATAATAAATATTTATAATTTATGCATATTAATAAAATGATGTTCATTTATTTAGCTCTGGATGTACTTGTGAAAATATGCGATCCTGTAAAGCAACAATCAAGCTCTTGTAGAGTAACAACTCATAAGGGCTTAAACGCAAGCCCAAAGGCTCTTCTCTTACGGACCAACATATCCAAAAGATTCAACGAGAAGAGTTCCAATTCAACCAACTTCCCCAACTGATCCAGCTCAGTGGCGAGTTACGATAAAATGGGCAAACCAAAGTCGACAACTCAACAATAAAAGTTGAGAAGCACATTACAAGCTAAGGATTATCAATTTGTAGCCTACAAGAAAATTTTAAGGCATTGAAAGAACAAGTCAGGGAGAATGTCATGAAGCAATGCAGCCAAGATGTCCGATGCATGTCTATGACGCTTTTCGGTTCGATGTTTTCAAGTGTTTTCTCGTAGACAACTTGTACAAGGCAAAAAGTACTACCTATAGCCCCATTTTGATTTGTTGTCAATGTTTTTATTTTTGTTTTTTGTTTCTACCTTGTAAAACTCAAAAATGTTTCTAGTTGTGCGACGTCGTACAGAGGAAAAAATAGTCAAAACAACTTCGTTCCCATGTGGCACAGGCCAATTCCTGGCTAATGGCCTTATGGTGAGAAATGTCAATTGTCTCAACACCCTCGAACCCATGGGTGGCACCGAATTGAATGGGGCATTGGTTATACGTTTGAGAGAGGGATATTGCAACGTCTTTAGTATGCTAACTTTCCATTTCACAGAAGTGCTAAGTGAACATTGGGCCTATACTTGCTTTGGGAACCCCCTTTATGTGAGATTGTTTAGCCCACTTTCAAGAGACTTTGTGCCTAATAAAAGCTGGATGCTTTGTGTTGCTCGCGATCTGATTATCTTTCCCATTTCGTGTGATGACGACATTATCTACACGTTTATCTTTCGAACCTTTTCTTTTCTGTTCAAGTCGCATTGCATGAGATAAAGGTCTAAGGTAACTCTTACAAATGAGTACTGCCCGTGGGCCACATGCTTTAGGTAATCCCACGTGATACTGTGGTAGAACTTAGCACAAAGATGGATGTCGTCTATCTTCAACTTATGTGGCATCACTTGTGTACAATAATGAATAACAAACTAGCTATTGCATTTGCTTGGCAAAGCTACAAGTTGGATCAACCCATATAGGAAGTGGCTGGCTTAGTGTAAGGGGATTTCATACCATACAACTATCAAAGACTATTTAATTGTGTATGCTTTGAACATCTAATTGTGCTGATCCTATCTAGTATGCACTTCCACAACACCAAAGAGGTGCCTTGGATATACTTGATGTCAACAAATCCATAAAATCCATAGCTAGGTCATTGAAACTTTTAAAGTGCTCATTCTCTCTACACAAGCTGGATAAACAAGGTTTTTAGATATAGTGCCCCTAAAGTTTTCCTTCCTCACTTAGCATCTTAGTCTGTCATCTTCTTTTTTCCTTATCACTTCTCTTTCTTCTTTTCCTAACTTTACACATTGTTCTCTCAAATTTTCTTTCCCCTGGAATACCAAGGCTCTTTCGTCAGCATCTCATTTATTTAGTTTTATTTTCTAAGTAAAAAAATGCAAATAAAGGTGGCAGCATGAAAAACTTTTTCATATTGACTGGGATCAATTAGTTACTTTCCCTTTATGTTGATTTACTTCTTTCTGATCTCTGTCCAATACCTAACTACCATTTTTGATAAATGAAACTTGCTAAGTGACATACCAAAATCATTTTCATCATTAATTTGCTCTGCAGACTTCAAGCAATTTCAGCTTAAAATGGCTGACATTTTGTTTCAGTTTAGGCAGGCATTTCTATGACAGAAAACCTTTTTGCACTATACAGGACAATCAGTAGGTTTTAGACGGTGAGCAAGGATGATCAATTTCAACTAGGAACTAAAACTGAAAGCATCCTTAGCATCTCTGATTATCATCAACATGACAACTTGTGCTCGTACAATATCATTACTACTCAGCACACGAAAAATTATAGATGTTACTGACCATTTTTTTTTTTTCCAACGTGGAGCGCATACCTCAAAATTTCCACTACTTAGTCAGAAGTCGATCATTCATAACAAGTATACCATCTTGTTAGCAGTATGCACTTGTTTGAATGAAGCGGACAGGAAATGGTATAACATTGTGTTCCGTGAATGAGGTCAAAAATCTAGCAAAATACAGCATTTACTACCTAAAGAACAAAATACTACGTCGCGGTAATTCGTTTTAGCAATGCACATAAACCAAACCGTCAACCACCTGTTCGACGAAATGCTTAGGAGAGCAAAAGGCTCCTTACCTTCTTAGACGAATGTGGGATCCTCGGAGCGCCACCGGCGGCAGCTTCGAAGGTAGCGCTAAATCGCCTTGGCCCCACGCCGTATATATATTTGAGCTTATTGAGCAACGCGTCCTTCGCAGAGCCCCTCCAAACCCTAGCCGCCATCGGCTCGACGACACCAGGAACAGAGCACGGTGATAGCTTCTTACACCTGAAGGCACAAACAAAAGCGCGATCGACGTCGGAAGCGAAGAAAAGAGACTCGAGCTTCGCCTGCCTTCGGCCGAATAATAAGCCAGGAACGAAAGGCGAGGAGGGTTGGCCGCCCGCTGTCGCGGAGAGAGAGCGAACGTCTTACGAGGGTTTTGCTTCCCGAAGACGTTATAACGGGTTTAAGGGGCCGAAACAACATTAAACCAGTTTAAATTGTTAATAACGGCCTACCACTTTTCCACCGTCGTAACGGTTGGTCATAACGGATCAAAACACGACTGCTATTATCGGTCATATCACACTCCTACAACAATAGTTAAATATTATAAGCAAAATGAATACTAATCCCTATAAATTTAAGTTTAATGGATATATATATATATGCCTGTTGAAAACATAAACAATTTTTTTATTTAAAAAAAATAAATTACATGTATACATCTCCGTTAGTGATTTGTGTTTTTGTTTCTTTAAATTTAATGTTATATATTTCCATCCAAAATCTGAACGCATAGATGTAAGATTTCAGAGTCGGTTTGTTATTCTTTTCGGTGCTCCACTGATGGGTTTCAGTGTTATAGAGTGTTCAAATTGAATCTAACCTAAACTGAATCAATTTCAAATTGGTTCGATCCAAACCGATTCATTAATAATTTAGTTTTGTCTTTGTGTTATCTTATTGTTGATTCCTTTCTTCCTTCTATATTTAATTTTTCTTTAAGCATATTTCAAATGATATATGTGACATATTTTTTTTAGAATATCGATTCAGTTGAATCAAAATTCTAATTCAATTTAATTAAATTGAACCGGTTCATCCAACCAGTTCATTTTAAATTTATATATTTTTTATAAATTATTTAAAATTAAAAAGCGATTAATCAAATTGGATTAACCGATTTTGAATGGTTAGATAGGTCTCAAAATGTTTAGAATATCTTACTGTAACTAAATCGAATCCTTTTTTGGTTCGATTTGATCTTTAACGGTTCGGTTCGAACTGTTTGATCACTCCCTGTACACGACCATGGGCAACAAAACTATGTTTGTCATTTGATTAATTCAATCAAGTAATGATAGTAATATGATACTATATTTTGATTATTTTTATTTTATTATAGTGAGATCAATATTTTATCAAATGTAATAGTACATGTCGATTCTTGATCATCAAATCTGATATGAAAGCCTATTTTGAATTATTTGAGTTGAAGCCAATACAAATTTAACATGATTTCTTTTTTAGTCAATCAGCCAAACTAGTTAAACAAGTCGAACGAGTCTAGCGGGCCTCTTATTTAAAAAAAAAAAAATTGCACGTACTTAGGCGGTCCTGTGTTACGCCATCCATTCAAGATTGTTGCCCTTAGTTAATGGCAATTGCTTATAATAAATATTATGCTATTTTTCAATTAGTTATGTTATTCACGTAAATCTAACTACAACATATATGTCGATCGACAATTTATCTAGAGATAAAGATTACTATTGTTGGGTATGTTAGTCATAGGTATCTTACAAACTAATCGTGACTTGACACGTAGTCTTTTTTCTTATTATATTTTTGATATTTATTACTTTATATTTATTTTGTTATATATATATATATATATATATATATATATATATATTTATTTATTTATTTATTTATTTATATTATGATGTCCTATGATCCGTGC